GTGAAAGCCATTGGAGCCTCTGTCGTACAAACTATTCAAGTGATTGAGGTGTTGGACATCTAGCAAAGCATCTTCCACCACCACTGGGGGGACGGGTGCAGCCTCTTGATCCACCTTGGGCTTCTTGGGGGTTTTCTTTTTGGGTGCCATCTTGGTAGAACCAGAACAGGACCTGGGGAGAAAGGAGAGGTGAGGAGCCCTGGAACAGGGGTGCAGGCATCCTGCTGCACTTTATGACATTCAGAGGAACAAAGGGAGATCTCCCACTGACTCAACACTCTTTGGGTCAGGCCAAAGGAAGGATGGAAACTGCCTCCCAAGCCCTGTACCCCTCTAAGCGGTGAGAAAGGCATTGAGGGCCATGACTACAAAAAGGGATCCTCAACTCTCAGCCAGTACCAGCACTGTGATAAAAAAGGACTGGGATTTTGGGTGGTTGCCTTGGGAAACTGGGAGCACCCACTGGTTCCTGGGGTGCATGGCCCTGCTTGCTCTGCTGTCTGGGCTGACACAGACTCCAGGCAGAGTGAACCAGCCATCACAGGGTGTGTTTTGGGTGACTCAAGCCCACGTCAGACAAGGTGAATCAAGTCCCAGCAGCTCTGACAGAGGTTCCTACACAGCAACAAGCTGAGACGAACCCCAGCACTGCAGGACTGCATAGAAAAGGGGGTTCGTGTTCCCCTCAGCCCCTTGGATGCAGCGAGGCGCCTGGCTGACCAGTTGGGCTCTTTGGGGTGACCAGCTCAGAGCGCAGGTGAAGGGGGGGGAAGGAAAATGAACAACAATAACCGAGTTTTTGAACGTTCCCGAATTCCAACCCGGAACTTGGCAGTGACTTGAGCTCCTCTGAGGGAGCTCGGAGCAGCCAATGTATGAGGGAACAAATCTGCCAGCCAGAAATAGCTGTTACTGCGCTCACATGTCTGGAGACTGTTTGTTGCGCTTGGCCATAAGGATCAGGTTGCTTGGAACTGAGTCATCAGCTCGGATTTAGCACGGGAGAAGGGGGGAATGATGAGACTTCAGCAAAAAAATACGGAGAAGGGAAAAGTTTAGTCCCAGTCCCTGCTGGGAAAGAGGATTCGGGGCTGAGCTCGAGGGGGAGCAGCGGTGCCGGCCCTGCTGCCGGGAGCAGGGAGCCAAGGGGGCTCCGGAGCAAAGTCCAGGCACCTGAGCCATGCCTGGCATTGCGGTGTTCCACGGGGCTATCCCAGTTTACACAGAGAGCTCGTCTGTCACAGTGTCATATCCTGAGCGGGCAGCAGGCCCTCTGAACTGGGGCACAAATGCTGCTGTCTCTGTGTGTGTTTGATATGAAACGGATTCCGACACGCAGCTCCGGGTTGAGAAAAGGAACCGGGATTTACCCTTTCCAAGCAACACCTCGTGGGTGTTTCCAAACTCCATCCCCTGTCCACCCCATTCAGGAGGCAAGTCCTGTCTTGAAGCAGTTGTTCTGGGATAAACCAGAGGTCTTCTAACTGCATCACACACAAGTGCAGTGAAGCCATGAGAAGCTTTGGGCTCAGACTGGTGTCTGTGGGATCCTGCCTGTCCCTTTGGACACCTTTGACAGGCTCCCATAGGAAACACGTGCTCATGTTATTCCAGCGGGAGGCTGCAGGAGGGCAGAGCGACCTTTACTACCTGCACTTCAGTCGAGATGGGACATCGTGACTGCTTCTGATTCCAATACCACTGCAGCCACTTGGAAGGGGTGTTTCTCCTACAACTAATCCTGGCTGCTGGATTAATCTAGGGAGCTGGAAGAGCTTTAAGAGACTTCAGACGCCCCAGACAGCACAGAGAGAGGACAGGGCTTCTTTCTAGCTGCTCAAACTTCTCCGAAAAGACAGCCGTTGTCCTCACATCCTTCCAGTGCCGCTAACCTCAGCCCCGCACCGCACTGCTGAGCGAGCAGCGCAGCAGGACCCCCGCTGCCGAGGCTGCCTTCTCAGAAAGTTATGACAGGCTTTTTTCCTTTAATTCCTGACCAAACAGAGCGAGTTCCTCTCCTCCACCTGCCAGTGCCCCCAGCCCTGGGTTCCGGCAGGGGCTGGATGCTGCAGCTCTGGGCTCTGTTCTGCTGCTAGTGAGTCCTCCAGCCCTGTTTCAGAAAGCAGCGGCTTTCCCAATGCCATTACTTTCGTTCTCCAGCCGTTCCCGTGCCCCACACAAGCCCTGCACGTCCTGCGGGCGAGCCCTGGCGCTCAGCTGGGGGCTGCGGCTGCTCCTTACCTTGCTCTCACGCCCGGTTAGTCCAAGGGGAAGCTCCGAGCAGCGCAGGGCTCTGCGGGTTCAGACACAGGGACCCTCCACTTGCCCCACACGACATCCTCCTCCCTCCTCTCCGCTCCCAGCCAGCTGACTGCTCTTATCACTTCTACACTTACAGCGGGCTTTGGGGGTGAGGTGAGGACAGGCTCGGGCAGGGCAAGGGCCTCTGCTCCAGCCAAGGGCATCACTGCAGCCAGCACCCGGAGCGGGCACGGTTACCTGGCACTGCCAAGGGCACAGCGAGGCAGCCAAAGGCCTCAGGAGCTCCACTGCCGAGGAGCCCCTGGGGATGATCGGGGGGGGACACCGCCCGCTGGTGCCTGGAAAAGTGCACCCTTTGGCCACGAACGAATCTAAC